TAATATAGGAGTTATTTTTTAACGAGTAAAAAAGAAAGATTGATGATTGTAATTGATGTTCTATTCCTACTTGATTTTTTTTTTCAAAAAAAAATTCCATAAATGGGTCTAAGTGGTACGTGAGGCCTATTTGTGTAAGTTTACATCAGAAAATATATGTGCAATATTTAAAACCTTATGAAAGGTCCTGTAACTAAGATAAACCATACTTAAAGTAAACAAGTTCAATAAATACTACTACGGTGGCTGCAGCAATTTGGCAGCAGTCCTAGCGAGACAAATACTACTGGTACCACAGATTTGACTCCAAAAAGCCCTGAAGAGGGGGAAGAAGGGCAGCTCTAGAGTGGGGAAGAGAAGATGACAAAGACATGTCAACAAAATTGCAAAAGTGAGGGAGATCCTGCTCGAGGGCCGGCCTGATCCCACTTCTGAAAAGGCGGGTGGAATTGGGTGGGGGTCTGGAGCGGCAGGCAACTATACACCACGGTAGAAAGTAGGAACCGCCCCCAGCAGGAGCCTCGACCCTGGAGTCTGGAAAGCACTACGGAGTCCTTAATGTGTGTGTCGCCATATGATGCCGTTTGATTCAAATTACTAATGACCTCAAAACGCCAGTATTCGACACAACCGGTAAGACTTTCCCTAGGACTAGTGGACTACTGCCAGCTGATCCCATCATATGCTATAATGCATAGGGATCCGCGGTTATCAAAATCAATCAAAATACCAATAATCTCTCCCTACAATCCAATTGGACATACTTACTAAACCCGGCCCAGTAAATAACCGGCAGAGGGATTGGATTAATGGATCGCTAGTTCAACCAGTAGATGAACCGGTGAGTATTAATTTAATATTTATAAATATAAAATAGTAATTTTAATGTACATAAAATGTATAATAAAGTTTTTTAGATATGAATTATTATACTTAGGAAGATATATGATAAATATATAGATATTAATAGAAGATTTAACTTCATTTTATTGTACTTTTACATAAATAAATAATATAGTCAAGTATAAAACAAAATCTATATCGCTTGTTTTAAAAAATATAGCATTATTTTTTCATTATTTTATTTTTGTTTAAAAATAAAGTAATTTCTAACTAATCAAATATTGTCAATTTAAAGTTAAAAAGGACTAATTGGATAGTAAAAAATAAACAAGTTTATTAAAACTATTTAATTATTAAATAAAAAATAAGCAAATGGTAAAGTTTTATATATATTTCAATGAAGATCCAATGTATAAAACTTATCAAAGGCATATATACATTTTGTTTAAAAAACAAAGACCCACAATTATATATATATATATATATATATATATAAGGTAAATCGAGTCAATTAAAAATTGAGCGAGTTTTCGATTGAACCACTAGATCAACCGGATTTGATCAGATCAATTTTTATTCAGTTGAACTAGAGACCCGACCCGATCTGATGTGCGAATCATTGGATAGCCGGTTCAATCGGTGGATCGGTGAATTAATAACTATGCCCAACAATCCAATGCTACAGTCCAAATAGGAGCTTAGTCCTTTTTTTATAGCCACTCAACCAAAGCTGAGTGGTTCTGTAGTGCGGTGACCAGGCCAAGGGGAAAAAAATTTCTGACACGGATTGAAAACCAAATTGCGTCCTTATATACTATGCTACGTACTGGCATGCATAGTGTCGGTGCTTGGTAGTCACGAATACTCGTAGAGGAGAGAAACATAGGCTGGATGGATGTTGGACCTGCAGTACGATGAAGCAGAGTCCTTTAGTAGTAATACTACCATTCCCATACCATAATGCGGGAAAGCTTTTCGTGAGAATGGGCTGGATTCCGCTTCCAAAGGACCCTTGTCTTGGCTTCCAATTTCAAGGCGACGGGCTACAAACAAAATTAATTAACCCATCCTAATTTTTATTTATTTATTTTTTGGGTAAGTAACCCATCCTAATTCTTATTATTTGAAATTAAAACCTGGAATATATTGGCTAATATATTGTAAGTAACCCATTCACAATTCTTATTATTTTTTGGATTGCGGTTTTTCGTCGGAAAATTACATCGTTTTCCGTGATCACATTTTCCTATTACCTTTTTTCCTTACATACATCAAATTGCTACAGTAATTTTTCCATGAAAAATGCAATCCAAACACAACCTAAGAAGTCAGATATACCATAACACTTTTTTTTTGTTCCTTTTAGTAACAGTGTTGATTATGCGCATTCAGGTTCTTAGCAGAATTATATGATCATTAGGGAAATTGTCTTTGATTTCAGATGATTTTTCTTTTCAATTCAACTTCACAAAGCGATGTTGATATTGATGGTAAGTGGCTTTAAAAGAAATGATCTCATGCAACAGTGAAAGCAACAATGAAACCATGCACTACCCGCAGACCAGATCAAATCTCTGAAGACAATTGGGCCTAAAATCATTGACACAAATCCTAAATTTTCTAAATTATTAATCATTTTATTATGGTTTAGGTATATTTGTCCGACTTCATTTTTTCCCCCAAACGATTTGGATACAAATATTTTTTTAAAATAATATTTCACTTGCATTATAAAACGCATTTTTTCAATTATTTTTTTAATTTTCAACTATCTTTTTATCTTATATATATCACATCTAAAAAAATATTACAGTAAATATTCTAAATCATATTACAAATAATACACTCTATCCAAACACGCCTCCAGGTTATTTGTTCAGAAAATCAAATGAATTTTCTTGGCCTTCTTGGCCCGCTAGGGCGGGCACTTTCTAATTCCTTTAGACTGTGTTTTATTTCCCCAATTTTATCTGCTTACATCATCATTACAATTTTCAATACACCTTTTTATCTTCTCAATTACCTTTTTATCTCACACACAACACATCACAAAGGGTGCCACAGTAAAAATATTCCAAATAAAACACAATCCAAACAAACCCTATGTATATCCACCTTGCAAAATCCAAATTATGAATCTTCTTTGTTCAATTATCTAAATGACGCATAATTTAGAAAACCTGTCAGTGTTCCAAGGAGAGTGGTTCTAACTGTATGTAGTATAATACCATGCTCTATATAGTAGTGTTTGACCAACCTGTCGACGTTATTTATTACAAAAAATAATAATAATAATAATAAAGAAGGAAAGAAGGCAAGCAAGAAAGAAAGGAAATCCCTGTCAGATGTTCCACACTTTCAATAATTCCTTCAGAAACGATTTAAAAACCTGCAGTTCTAGAAGAAAAGCGGGGGCAGACAGGGACGGAACAACTAGAAGCATCCATCAGATTATCCAAAACATCCAACTTTTTTTTTTATTTTTTTATTAAGGTTTCCACATGTGTGCCCGGTGGAAGTATGGATGGTTTTGGCTGGGAGGGGGGCGCAATTATCTGACTCTTTCTCCATGTAATATGGTAAAAATAAAATACTAGTCATCAATTATTTGACTCTTTCTCCGGGCGAGTTACGTAATGCAGGTTGTCTCCAAGTGAGGTCATAGTACCTTGTTTGGATTGCAAATTTTTAAGAAATTCTCCCGACAAAATTTTCAATCATCTATTTGCTTTATATATTACATTGTAATATTATATTTTATAAGAGAAATATATTTAAAAAACTCACAATCCCAATGAAGTCTTTTGCACCTGGTTTGGTGTGTGTTTTCACCCAAAAAAAAAAACGCGTAACACATTTTTCAATCACTTTTAAGTTCTAGGATCTTGTTATTTAATGCAGAATCAGACCAAGCGAAATGTACCACGCACCTGTATGGATTTAGAATAATTCTCATATAGAGATACATAGATAAAAGATAAAATTTGAACACTTAACCTTCTAACACACAATTAATGTGATGACCAACTCCTCTAGAGGGAGTGGTTCATTGTCTTGTAATGTTGATATATTTGCGAATTTTTACAAAAAAAAAAAAAAAAAAAAAAGAAAGAAAAAAATCTCTCAAGACATATTTTCATCATCATAGTGCAAATTCTCTCGAGTTTTTTGCAAAGGGACTTAAAGTTGGGACTTGCTACTATGAAGATTTAGCAGTAAAAAATAAAATAAAATAAAATTTTGAGCATTAATTGGAGTCAATGACAAAGAGTAGGGGTAATCATTTTAGCTCCATCTAGCCATTGATAGACTAAGTAAACAACGATTTACTAATCAACCTGCTGATTTTCCATTCTAAAATGCACGCTGAATTAGACCATTTAAACCCGACAAAACGGCTAGAATCTAAAATGAGCAACCAAAAAATTCCAATCACAAGCGAATATTAGTCGGAACCAATCGTAACATCCGTCAAGTTTGTGAAATGAATCGCACAACCCACCCGTCCACCCTACCAGTCCGCTGCCCTAATCGTCAAGTTTTTTTGACTGATTTTCAGTTGTCATCAATTGCTTGTTTAATAAGTATCTTACAATGCTGCAGTGAGAGGAACAAGTAGTATCTAAAAGGCGAGTCAACCTTCATTCCCCACGAGGGTCTAAAAGTAGCCTTCTTCCTTCTTTCCGTCTTCACCATTGGCAATTAAAATAAAACCCCTCTCCAACTCTCTACTTTCTACTTCCAACTTTCCTCTCATCAGAGACCCATTCCTTTTTACTCCCCAATTAACGTGTTGAGCTGCTTGCAAAATACTACATGTATACTATCAATCATTCTTCTTTCCACGGATTCTTCTCACCAGTAAGAGAGAAAAGGGCAGGTGTGGTTGGCGGCTAATACCTAACTCGAGGAAAGGGAGGAGAGGTATAATTCACATTAGATCTGGATTCACAGAAGTTCTGGGGTGGTTACAAATTACAATCGTGCTAGTGCTGGTATTCAAGTTTGTGTATGTGTTTTAACTCGACTGCGGCAGCAGGTTGTGATATAATCTACTACTATTATGCATATATGAATGACATCCTGAAGTGGGCTCTTGCGCTTTGCTTGGTTTCTGGAGCGAAGAATTGCTGTCTCTTTTTTGAAGCTTTGCTTCCATGGGGATTTGCTTGAGCCAACAAGTCAAGGCTGAGTTTCCATTTTCCTCTGGTACAGGTAATTTGCCCTTCATCTTCGCTTCCGTTCTTCACGTATACAAAATATGAGAAAGGAGGTGTCTCTCTTTGCCATTATTGTATAATCCATCAATCTTAGCTAGCTAAATTGTTTAATCTGGTATTTTTCCACGGTCTTCATTCTTCTTTTATCTTGTGTGGATTAGGAAGTGAATCTTTCTAGGATTCTTTCAATTAGAGGTTTATCTAGTTCAACTGATTTTAAAGTCTAAACTAGGTGATGCGAATTCTTAGCTGCAAAGTACTCTTTTTTTTTTGGTTGTAACTGCTAGCTGGACTTCAGTACGAGTAGGGTCTTTTTACCGTGCTTCTATGCAGTTCATGAAGTTTCATTTTGTATGACCTACACGTTGTCTTGGCCTGTGGGAAAAAAAAGTACCATATATATCCTAGCTGCTTGTTTTGTTTTCTCAGTTCTATTCGTATCGCTTAGCTGTTGGACTGTGTGTAGAAGTAAACTCACGAAATGTGTGAGTGAGGATGGGACTCAGACGAGCAATTTGAGCAGCAAGGCCTCTTCATTTTCCATGTGTCAGACCCCTCGAAGTGAGGGTGAGATCTTGGAGTCCTCCAACTTGAAGAGCTTCACCTTTGGTGAACTCAAAGCAGCTACCAGAAACTTCAGGCCTGACAGTGTTTTGGGCGAAGGTGGCTTTGGCTCTGTTTTCAAGGGGTGGATTGATGAGCAATCCCAAGCAGCATCAAAGCCTGGGACTGGGATAGTTGTAGCTGTGAAGAGGCTAAACCAAGATGGTTGGCAGGGGCACAAGGAGTGGCTGGTGAGCAATCTAAAATTTTTGGCATATCCTCAATTCTTATTCCTAAGTGATAGGAGGCAAGTTATTTGTAGCACAAGTACTTTATAACACAAAAAAATATTTTTTTTTTTTGGCCTTGCTTGTTACGTAGGCTTCTTAGAAATACTTTGAATCTTTCAAGTCAACATAGCACTTAGGCACACTTAAAGTGATTCATATTGCACTAAAGTTTTGAAGAATTATCTCTTCACCTGTCAACTAGCTAATTTTTCTTTTTGAACTTTTGGATTTGCAGGCCGAGATTAATTATCTTGGGCAGCTGCGTCACCCTAACCTTGTGAAGTTGATCGGGTACTGCTTGGAGGATGACCACCGACTTTTGGTCTACGAGTTCATGCCCAAGGGTAGCATGGAAAATCATCTATTCAGAAGTAGGTTCTTATGTCCTCTTAGGACTAGACCTTTTAGTTGTGACAAGAGTTTCCTGGTTTATTCTATCTATTAATAATGGAAATGTTCTCTCACATGTTGATTTTCATTCAATCAGAAGGATCTTACTTCCAGCCGCTCTCTTGGAGCCTTCGTATGAAAATTACTCTTGGCGCTGCCAGGGGACTTGCCTTTCTTCACAGTGCTGAAACAAAAGTTATTTATAGGGACTTCAAGACTTCTAATATCCTCCTTGACTCCGTATGTGATTCGAGAACCATTTTCCATAATATTTTAAGAGATAATGAACTTTCTTGCTTCTATTACGCATGACATGACTAGTATCTGTCTTCTGATTTCTATTCCCCTTGCTGTTTTTTCTGGTTTAATTCTGCAGAAACTACAATGCCAAACTTTCTGATTTTGGGTTGGCCAGGGATGGGCCAACTGGTGATAAGAGCCACGTCTCTACTAGGGTTATGGGGACCTATGGTTATGCTGCCCCTGAGTACCTGTCAACAGGTAAATCAACTTAGCGTGTCATGATACCATTGTCATTGTATCTTTGTTTCATGTTCCCGACTTGAATCCATGCTATAGAACATTTTTTGCTAAGCTTCTGTATTTAGCTTTCCTCCATTGTTCCGGTTGATTTGCGTTTCTGTTTTATGGCATTTCATGTTCTATATCACGTGTGTGAACTCTTCTTCTGTAAATTGCTGCAACCAAAATTCTTTTAAAGAAACAATTATTTTGAAAGATGATTAGTCATTACACTTTGATACTCTCTGTTCAGAAGAAGATGATGTAGTACTGTTGCAGAATACAATCTGATGGGTGATCAACTTGTGTCGGTCTGTATGTGTGTGTACACGCATGCACGCAAAACACACACACACACACATGCATATATATACAGGGAAACCTGTGACAAATTGGTGATGTGATCATGATGCAAGGAATAAACATATAACATGACGGTAATATGATGAGCATGGATGTGACTGGCCATGCAGTATGATATTTCCATAACCTTCTGTCCTTGCTGTTAAAGAGATGGACTTTTTTTTATCACTCTTCTGGTTTACATTTATTTCTCATTAACTTTTACGGTAAACAATTGATTGATGGAACTCACTCTGGTTTTAGTAACATAATAATGTGCACCATTATTAACTTTTATCCTTGCTGAAAAGGTCATTTAACTGCAAAGAGCGATGTCTACAGCTTTGGAGTTGTTCTTCTGGAGATGTTGTCTGGGAAAAAAGCAATAGACAAGAATCGGCCAACTGGGGAACAAAATCTAGTGGAGTGGGCAAAACCTTACCTTACCAACAAACGCCGAATTTTCCGCATTCTGGATGCCCGTCTTGAAGGCCAGTATTCCATGGGTCGAGCACTAAGGGTGGCTAATCTTGCCATTCACTGCTTGTCCGTGGACCCCAAGGTGAGGCCAAGCATGGACGAGGTTGTAACAACTCTAGAGCAGCTCCAGGACTTGAAAGGCACATCAAACCATGACCAGAAGGACAGCCAGTTAAATCTGGATGGCAATTCAGGTGGTGGGCCTAGGCATTGCAGAAGAAGTGCTGAAGAAGCTCCTGGAATGACGGCTTACCCTAGACCTTCAGCTTCACCACTTTATGCTTGAAGGAAGGAGGAAAGACAATTCCATTGCGAGAGCATTGATCAATTTTTTGCTATATTCCCAAGTGATGTACAGTTTTTGCTTTTTGGTAGTACGGTGGTCATGGCGAGGCTTAAAAAGCTGCTGCTCTTCCTTCCTTGTAATGCGAGGGTTTTGCATGCTTTTGGTAAATGGATGTTTGCATCAGATGTTGCGAGGAAAGATTAGGAACTTGTTGCTCTTTGGCTTGTAATTTTGTAGTTTGTAGCGTTTGAACTCGTTGCATGTGTGCCATAAGCTCTCTCTGTTTGAATGTGTAGCCCATGACTGGAAACTGGCCATGACCCTTTATTTATTAATTTTGTCGCATGGCCTTGGCAGCAGGTGCTTGAATTTTTGGATTCCCGGCCCGGAGTTTTAGATAAGAAGGCGTAGATTCAAATGAAGATATCCCAATTTAATCTCCATCTAGCCCAAATCTCGCTGTACTAATCAAGCCCCCTTGGTTTTTGGTGCCTGGCACTGCATAGAGAAGCCCAAGGGAGCCCAAACTGTCATGGCCCCTTGCCCTGGGTGAGTTGAAGTCCAACAACGGAAAGCAAAAGTAAAAAAAGAATCTGACGAAATTTGGCAAAAAATAATTAGCCGCCTAGAAAAATTGTCAACATATATGGTCCTGGCCTACCTATAATTGTTTTGTTTGATGGTTTTGGAATTCACCTTACGACGGTTGAACTCAAAAGTTACTTGTTTGTTTTTGCAACTTCTAATTAAACGAGTGAATAAAAAAAAAAAAAGAATTATGTAATAACCACAACCTAAAGAAGTTGATATACTACGAATTCGTAAAAGGTAAGAGATGTGGTGTAATTAGAATTAACAAACAAACAACTGGTCTGATTGACGTCTGATGAATAGTAGGAGTGTAATATTACACGCGGTTTCTATGTAGTATTTTAATTCTTGTGTTTTTTTTTTCCCACACCTTTTCCTGAAATTAAATATGGGAGTTTGCACCCTTAGAAAAAAGGGAAGAAAAGAAAAAACGGGAGTTTTGCTTTGCTGTCTTCCATCTTGGCAGTCAAAATACACAGCTGGATGAAGGAAGGGTAACCTGCAAAATTGTTCTTCTGCGTCAAGCGGTCCAGCTCCGCGTTAAGCAAACGTCCAATTGACTCGATATCAAATGCTACCTGCTTAAGGAAGCAGCTATATTACATGTGTTGATCTTCATCTCCAAGTCATCGATTACTCAATAGTCATAAATCCCCCCCCCCCCCCCCCCAAAAAAAATTGTTTAGTGTCTGCTTTCATAGAAGAAGACAGACAGGAACATAATCCTGGTTTGATAATTGACACTAATTAATATTGATTACAAGGAACACAACTACGGCTTTGTCATACAATTTCAGCTTAATATATGGATCCGAAGCAAATCCCACTTGCTCCTAATTCTTTATTGTTTACGTAGACAGCTTTTCGGGAAAAATTTAGAACCTCTTTGGTCGGCTACGCAAGCCTACCTAATCCATTAGGTCCGCCGGGCAGCTTTAAAAATGCAAGAACCTCCCAGAGAACTAAGTCACTTCTGATCATCTTCCTAAACTCGGATGGCAAACGGCAGGCTGGAGGTCCTGTTGGTGGAAGCTCAAGGTATCAGAGACAGAGACAAATGCATTCCTGGTATATACATCTCTTCTTTATTCTCTAAGGAATTTTTTCCACAACCTCGTTTTTTTTTTTTCTTTTTAACAAAAAAAAAAAAATATTCGTAGGTTGCTTAAATTGCCTAAATCCTTGTAATCAAGCAACAAAGCCTTACGTGCACATCCTGTACGCAGAGCAGGAGCGTACCAGCTGTGTAGCCAAAGGTAACAAAGCCGCCCCATATTAGTTTGTTATCTAGCTCGCTCTTCTCTGTGAGATTTCACTTGCAGTTGAGCTCAACAATCTTTTTGTGCCCACCATCGAAAACTTTAGTTTGAACTTGATTTGGTAATATAAAAAAAAAAAAAAAATGCAGGGAAAGGAAAGAAACGAGAGTGGAATGAGAAATTCGCGTTTGAGGTGAAGTATCCGGATGGCGGAGAAGATCGCGTGTATAAGATCATATTTCGCGTCATGGACCAACACAAGTTCACCGAAGATGTTTTTGTTGGCGAATCTACGTGCGTAACCCTCCTCGATCTCTACATATATACACACACACACACATATAGATATATATATATATATATATATAATATTTCACTTTCTTTTTTTGTAATTGTAATATATGCTGTTGACATAATTTTTTCTCTTTATGGCGGTGTTTAAATTAAATTGATAACTTGGTGGTGCATGTAGGGTGTACGTAAAAGATATACTATCAATCGGGGCAGAGAAGGGGAAGCTTGAAGTTCAACCTCGCCTCTATAGAGTCGTTCAATCGGACAAGACCTACTCTGGAGAAATATCTGTTGCATTTACCTTCACCAAGGTTAGTTAGACTTCTTCATACTTTAGAAGCTCAAGCTTGACATTTGGATTCTTAAATTTTAAGTAAAAGGTATTTTTTTTGTTGCCACGACCATATATAATATAGCAAAAGATTGAGAATAATATTAATTATTATTGTCAGTGGGAGGTGGCATTTTTTCTTATTGTTGCATCCAGTTTTGCAACTATATACTTGAAAGAACCTAATATAATTAAAAGTTGCGTCTAAATTAAAAGCGTGGAGAAATGTTGTTGCCGTTCTAGGTTCTATTCTGAGCATGACTTTGGGTTAATTGATGCACCACACTACTATTTGTGCAGATCAAAGATGGAATAGAAGAAAATCCTGAAGGCCGGAAGGAATGCGCTAATCAAGGATGAAATGGAATTATTAAGGAAATTCTCAAATTACCAGAACCACTGAAAATGTCAATCGCTAAGGCTTTGTTTGTATCAGGGATTTGACGAAAGATTTGCAACTCTCCAAAATTCCTCTCGTTGTTTAATAAATTGTTTAGGAGAAATTTGAGTTTGTAATTCATTAATTATTTCTATGTTTAAAATACGTTTAAAGAATTTGTGAATTTAAAACCCAAATACCTCCTAAATAACTAGAAAAATGTGAAAGAATTTCAAATCTTATGCCAAGTATCTCTGAGCCAAATGCAGCTTAACTGAATTCAATTCAAAAATTATGGAAGTTGCTTGCCTAAGAGAAGTCTCGACCATTATACCGCAACGGATCTTTCGTCCCATATCCTGTGCCACTCTCTGTCCCACTTTTTATTATATTGTTATTTCTCCTACATAAATATTAACTGTAGCAGGTTTCTTCTTCCTCTCAAATCAGTCGGATTCTCTTCCTTTCTATTTCACTAAAACTCTCAAACGTAGCAAATACCATCTCCCAAACTAGGCATAAGAGTATTATAATTATACTCGAGAAAGGAAAAGGAAAACCATATAGTAATGTAAACCTATGGCGGTTCAAAATAAAATATCCACTTAGATTGTCAAAAATAAAAGAAGTCTGTGAAGAACTTCCTCAAGAGCAAACTTCTCATGATCCTTCTTTTAATTACTAGTACACCACTATGAAATTCTTTTGTCTAATCTATGTGAATGCATTTGTCAATGATTTACTATATATTTCTAGGTTTAGGGATAAATAGGCAGTCGACTACAGCTAATATATTCTTTGCTGAATAAATCTTAAAGGCATGAGATTTAAATAGGAAAATGATTAATTCTCTATACACTTACAGTGTATACACTTTTATCATTAGATATATGATACATAATTCGAAATTGAAATTTGAAACTCAAATTTTATATACGTATTATATATCCAACTGTGACAGTGTATATATGCTCAATGTATATAATATTTATTTGTAGGAAAATGTATTGAGAAAGTAGCAAAGCTAACACCAGGTGCCACTAGGGATGTGATCGGAACTGGTGCTGGTCAATGCTTAGCTTTGTGCTTGGGAAAGCACAACTGATCCTTACCACAAAGGCAGTCAAATCCTGAGCGTTGCGAGCTCCAACTTCAGCACACAAGCACGCAAGAATATCTCATTTATGATGCCATGATTGATTCCACATGATCACTTGAAAAGTGTTTCACTAAAAATTCTGAAAACCCAATTCGAAGTCCTCCATGGCATGAGCTCAAAATTGGAAACCATGCCTCATTTATCTAAGAACCACTCGAAAAGGCTAAAGGAAACATAAAATGGGAATCTATCCTCCTCCAGTCGATTATGAGACAAACTTCACATGGTCCTGACTCCTGGATCGTGGATTTTTTTCCTACCGAAAGTCCCATCTTCTGCCAAGCAAGGATGAGGTATATATCCCGTTTCTATGCTAAGCAAGGATTACTTTTTCTTCTTGACTTCAACCAACCAAGAATGTGAAGAGGAAAGGTTCGAGAGCCCAACAATTTGCATAAAATGCTGAAGGGTCCAATCCAATTGAAAAGACTATCAGATCCCAACACGAACAACGCTGTCTCTGTCCCAGAAAAAGAAGGAAACACAAAACGAGTGAATAATCTACAAAAAAAAAAAAGAAAAAAAAAGCGATGATAAGGTGATATAAAGACCATAGCCAGAGTTCCAAATTTGGGTTATCAGTAATAAAATAAGAAAAGATTAAAAAAGATTTTGGCCTTTTGAGTGATCCATATCCAGAGTTCAGTAGATCTGAGCTAGTGAATATCCAAAGAAAAGTGAACGTCGAAAACATGTTTTTGGGAGAGATTCCAAATGATAAGACTCATAAGAGGCACGACAATAGGAGTTTTATATGTCACCTTGACTTCATATGCTGAAAATTTACATCCCGTACTGGGCTGTTAAATGATTAGCTGCAACAATTATTTAGTATTGAGAACTTCTGTTGTCATAGCACTGGACCGTACTGGGCTGTTGTTGGCAGGAGCAAAGCCTGCCATAAGTTCTTGAAATTTTGGGTACATCCCGGCAGGAAGTGCAAATTCCCGAATGCCGTGATGATGGTCGTGGTCGCTGAAACCATTTTGCAGTGACCAAGGCACCATCAATTTGATCGACCGACCCCCAACACAAATTCTTAGTAGCAGTGCATTAAATTAAAGCATTCATGCCTCATCTTCTCTACTACATCCATTCACCACAATGAAAAGAACAAACATACCAAGAAGCTATAGATGTAGTATATATTAATGGCGTTCATCGTAATATCAATACTGAATACGAATATAACTGGAGCTGCGGGCTACACCGGGATCATGCTTTTCCCTGCAGCCACTTCAGCCCCTACAAACAGCTTTTGCACTTTGCTGCTGCTGCCGGCATATCTTCACTGCCCATATCTTCGAGCCAAACTTGCAGAGTCCACGTCAAAAACACGGGAAAAAAGAATGGACAAAGCTTACCGTAAGCAAGCCCACTTGAAAGTACAATCCTATAGCTATTTATAAGTGCTTCTTCACCACCATTAATAGTCTCCTGGTAGTACAGTACCATTCCTAATAAGCAGCTAGTAGGGTAAAATGGCGCTGCTTTTAGCGCTTTCTTGCTTCAAAATAGTTTCCGGGGGTAAGAAGGGGGGAAAAACTGCGAAGGCGGCAGAGCGAGAAAATAGGGTATTACTATACTGTTACTTGGATCCAGAGAGAAACGACTTAATTTAATTGATGATAATACTACTAGTACTAAATTACGGGGATTGGCGGTGGTTGAAAGTTAATTATTAAGTGTAAATTCGGAAATTCTTGCCGACGAAGGTCTGGCCAAATTGCCAGTTAGGTGGTGCGACGTTCCATGAGGTGGAGGTACGGCGATCGCTGGTGGTGACTCTGAAGGACAGGGCCTGGCCCGCGAGCTGGGCATTGGACTGCCAATTTTGGCCCCAGTTGCGGCTGAGGGGCAGCCATTGGGTGCGGGTACCCTTCACGCTGGCGCGCATCACATTCCCTGCACCTGCGACATTGGTGATCAGAACCAAGTTGAAGTAACGGAAGCCGTCGACGGTGAACCTGATTCCTCCACGCTTCCTGCAAGGGACCCTGCCAAAAAACCAACAAATTTTATTTTATTTTTTACCAAAAAGTTGTTTTAAGATCATTAAAACGTACCTAATAAACACTAGTACTATATATACTAAAAAAATAAAAATAAAAAAAATCCGATGCACGACGTTAGTAAATAGGTTCTTTAATGCTATCATGGTTTGTTGTCACAAGATGCTGCTGCTGCATGCACCTTACAGTTTTTGCCTTAAGGGCAGGGGACAAGGGAGGGACCGGGGTCATGGAGGTTGACCGGTAATTCAGGTAATGAGGCCCCACCATAACAGTGCGGCTTTTTGCATCGGTACTCAAAATATTATATATAGTTCATAATAAAACTACGCTGTTGCCCTCGTAACCGGAATTGCTCAACGATCGGCAACCCAGACCGGGATCTCCCGGCGTTATCTTGGGCTGCACTTTAGCATACGAATCCATTTTCAAAAAAGAATAAAATCCAGGCATTTGTCCATTCTGGACTGAATCCGGGTTTTAGTGCACCATGGCCGCATGGCACAGAACCAGCATAGTAATTTTTGGTAGGTAGCAAGTAATTTGTTACTAACTGAAAAATGGTGAAAGCGACGCAAAAACGCGTCCAGCCTCTCTGAGTCTGGGGTGGACCACAACTGCAAGTAGAATTGGCGGATTCTCTTCTCAGTTCTCACAACCAGCTTAGGATGAAAAAAAAATTTCAGTAGCACTCCACAGATTAACCCCTTTTTTTTTTCCCAACAAATCCACTCCACAGAAATTACCCGACAAAAAAAAAAAAAAAAAAAAGCGACGCTGCTTGGTGCCTGTCAAATTAGTACACACTAGAACAGGGGGGAAAAGAAAAGAGACAAACCGGAACCAAAATAACGACTACTAGAATGACTCCGACTGCTGAGTACTGATTCACCATTCTGCGTACCTTTCACCCTTACAACTTTTCTTTTCCAATCTCCTTTTTTTTAACATAGTTGCAATTAATGTGTACAAAGATTAACTTTCTTTTTTGCTCGCTTGCTAAGATAATTGTGACATACTCAAATCCCAAAGTCCAGGCTCTATGCTCTAGAAAAAAAAAAATGTCACCATAGAGAAAAGAGCGAAGGGAGACCTGCTAATATATACAACTAGTAGCTTAAGAGGGGGTTTGTTTATCTTTATCCAATATTCCAATGGATGGATCGCGAGTGGTGAAAGTGAAACTACTTACCGACGGAAGTTGACGGGGACGATGCCGGCGCGGTACTGGGCAATCTTGAGGAACATGGGCATGGCGAGTCGAAGTGGGTCTGGGAGGGTTGCACCACCCACCATTGTCGTTTGTAAGGCGAAGTTTGGCGGCAAAAGTTTGTCGCCGTAATAAAAATGGAAGGGCTGCCGGGAAGGCACCATTTGGGGTCATCAGCGCATTTTAGCTCAAAGCAGGCCCCGCAGCTTAGACCATCGTTAAAAGCGCTGTGCTCAGCGCTGCCGTGTTCACTCCATACCTTGGCTGTACAGGTTGCCGTACCACATGCCCCACCTGATGAGTTACCGTAAATCAAAATACTTATAAACAATCAAAAGTTATACTTACTACTACTAATTAGTAGTACTATATTTTACTAGCATACTACTACAGAGTTTATGTGAAAACAGGCATGCACCGATTGGGGACGGACATGTCATATAAGCAAAATCTGAGGCTTAAGAAGAAAATACTACAGTCGTAGCACGTACAAAATTTTAGTTAGTATGTGTAAAATATAGAGGGGAGGATGTGGGACGAATGATGCATGCATACCCATGGTGCCAGAGGCATCGCTGCCGCCGTAGAAAGTAGCGTGGCGCTTTGCCAGGGACCGCCGGAATAAGCACCCGGCAGTCTAGCGTTAACCACCGTCAAGAAACAGAGAAGAGCAGCAATGCAGAGTGGACACATTTGAGCCATTTTCATTTTTTGAAAATTCACACTTGACCAATTACTTTATGAGTAATTACCACTCCGGCTCGACTGAAACTGAAACTGGAAGGATTTACATATACCGTGTTCTGTTGGTGGAGTAGGGGGCATTAGCTAGCAGGTAGGGAAGGGTACTCTGTTCCA